CTGGAGCCAGCGGGTGGCCTGGGACGTGGCCGCTGTGCGGGAGGGCGCGCAGGGAGCGGCGACGGAGCGCGGGCGCCAGCGTCGGGGGCAGCGCACGCCCCTGCGAGGAAGACTGCCCGGAGCGCGGCCGCGTCTCGGGGTGCCGCGCCCCCCGGGGCAGAGGGGCGGCGTGCTCTCTCCTCGGCGGCGTCGGGCTCACGGGCTGTGGGTGGTGGGGAGCATGGGCGGTTCCCCAGGCACCGGTACCGTCGGCCTGGACCGTCCACGGGCGGCGGGGGTGACCGCGCCTGACGCCAGAGGGAATGCCCGTCAGTGTATCCCAAATCGGGCTTGCGGCACGAAGTGAGCGTAGATCGAGGTAACAGTATGAGATGAAGGTATCATATTTGGTGACGACTCTAAGCCCCCTTTCCTAACGAAGATGACGGCTCTCAGTCCAGGCGCACAGTGCTCAGGCTCTGTGGCGCCCTGACCTTTTGGGAGCATCTCCTGACTTGCACGTAGTGTGGTCTTCAACCTGACCCGGGAGCCGGGCAGGCTCTCCGCCCCGGCCCCGCTGAGCAGGCAGTCACTTGTCCAACCAAGCGTGTGTGGAGCGTGGCCCCAGCGCCCCCGCGGGGCTCCGGGCTGTGTGGGCAGCGCCGGCCATCCGTGTCGACGCCCGCTGGGCCCTCGGTGCGGGTGCCGTGTGGCTGTGGGGCGTCTTCGTGGTTTGGCGCCTTCAGTTCTGTTCAGTTGTGATGCAGGGAAGGGGTGGTCACTTACGCATTGTCACTCGACACACGTGTCAGTGTGCACCTGTGCTCTCCTGGGGACGCCCCGCAGGCAGAGCCGGCCGTGAGCACTCGGGCCGCCTGGAGAAGGCCCTCCTCCCCTCCCGCAGCGGTGGCCAGCCGGCCTGGTCCTGGGGCGGGGCCGTGTGTCTCAGCCGCACCGGAGTTTCTCAGAAACTGAACAGATGTGATCAAGTTGAGGATCTAGTTGGGCTTGTTGTGCAGAATCAAGAGGAGCAGAATGAATCCGCCCTCCAGACTCAGCAGATCTGAGGGCTGATGTCAAGCCGGGTGCACCAAGGAGGGGAGCAGGGCTGGGGCGGAGGGGCGGGGGCTGCCTGCCTGCTGGGGCCGCAGCCGAGCTCCCGCCCGGGGGGCCCTGGGCAGCCCCTCTGGGACTGCCTGAGAGTCCCAGGGTGGGCATCTGCCTGGGGGGGCACCCAGGCCTTCCTCAGACTGTACCCGTGCCCTCAAGTGTGCACACGAGTCTGGGGGTGTCTGCCCAACTTGCCATGGCAGGAGGCCCCCACCCCCCGCAGCCCAGCCCTGCCCGTGGCATTGCCTGTGCGGACGAGGCAGCTCCGCACGGCACAGGGGCCAGCGGCCTGCGGCCTCCCGGGGCCTCCCTGCGCCCCAGCAAAGCAGCCATCAGAGCTGCCGGTGGCGGCAGGGCGTCACCTCTCCCAGAAAGCCCTGGCTGCGGCCGCTCCCGCGGGGACGCGCGGAGGCTCCTCACTGGTAGAAGCGCCTCCGGGAGCAGTGGCTGGTCCGTCCCTCAGGGGCCTGGGCGGTGCCCGCTGCCCTGGGGGGTGGCCCCAGTCTCCACGCGGAGCGACTCATCCGACCGGGCATCAGGGAAGCACGCGCTTCAGTAGGTCTGAATCCATGTGTTTCACCTCATTTAAAATAAAATCTTCAGTTAAAAAAAAAGTATCTTACACCTGGGAAGAAATAAGAGTAAGTACATTTTCTCAAAATGCTGAGAAGCTCCAAGTTCAGGGCTCTCCGCGCAGGGTAACGCCCTTCCCCACGGCGCCCTTGTCGACACGGACGGAGCGGCACCGTTTGCCGCGGCGCTGCCTGCCAGGCAGGTCTTCAGCCTGCGCTGTTGACGAGCCTGACCGGACATCAGCCTGAAGGCTACGTGTCCATCCTGGGACGGTGCGGGCCTGAGCTCAGGGAGAGCAAAGGGAGAGCAAGGGGGAGCACAGCACACAGTGATGAGCGAAGTCGGTCCCGCGCCCGCCGCCGGGCGTGTGCCCAACCACGGGACTCCACAGGGCGGCAGGCAGGGCCCCCGTCCGCCTCGGCCTCCTCCCGTCGCAGCGGTGACAGCTGGGGGTGGGGTCACAGGGTGGGACTTGTTGCCAACCGGGCTAGAGGTGAGGGAATTTTAAGTGTGAAACTGGTGTGCGTCTCCGCAGGACAGAGACGCGAGTGCACTCTCGGTGACAGGCCGCTGCCGCAGGGCCTGGGCTGGACACTGAGTGGGGAGCGTGTCTGTGTCGCTGAATTGTGGTGTTCACGAAAACTGCAGCTCTGTTGTCGTGTTTGGCATGTCACAGCGTGCCCCAGATCCCTGGGGATCACTGAGTTTCAGGGTTCAGAGAGAAGGCTCGAGAAGACGGTGGGCTGTAGTCTGGGTGGCCCGGCACCACCCCTTAGAAGTGGGCCTGCCTGGGACTTGCGCCTCACCAGTGGAATGTGGCCACTGTGACAAGTGTCACTTGTGGTTAACCTCGATAAGAAGGGCAGGGCCTTTGCCAGCAGATTCTTTCCCTTGGTGACTTTGATGAAGCGAGTGGCCAAGTGCCAACAGCACCTGGAAACCCAGGGCAGTCTCCACCCTCCGGCCCACAGCTCGGGGGAAGCTAAGACCCTCAGCTCAGCAGCTCCTAAGGACCTGAGTATGGTCCCCAAGGCTGTGGGTTTGGGGGTACATCCTTCCCAGCAGGGTGAGGTGACACCCCAGCCCTAAAGCCCCGCTGGCGCCCTTCGCGCCGCTGGGTAGGGTGCCTGTGCGCTGCCCCTCAGCAGCGGCGCTCTCTCGGGCGCCTGCGTGCGCATGGTCTGTCCCTGCCGCAGACAGCGGACACGGGGTGGGCGTGTCGGGCAGCCAGGGCCCCCAGCGGGGTCCGCGGGTGCCACGACCTCAGCAGCAGCACTTTCCCTCCTTCCGGAGGCTGGAATCGGAGACCCAGGCGCCCGGCTGGCTCCTCCTGAGGCCCGTCCCTGGCTTGCAGGTGGCCGTCGCCCGCCTGTGTCCTTGCCGGGTCTCCTCCACAGGTCACTGTCTAGTCCTCTCACAAGGCCACCAGTCGGCCTGGAGCAGGGCCCCCCCATGGCCGCATTTTAACGTAACTACTCCTTTAAAACCCTCCTCCGAACACAGCCCGGCCCGCGGCCCGGCAGGCCGCCCGGCGGGGCCTGTGAGGGGTGCCTTCTGCTGCAGCCGCGAGGCCTCGCTGCTCTCCGCAGTGACGTCTTTACTGCCTTGCTTTTATTTTTACGTGATTACACGTGAATCAGGTTGTTAATGTGTATGTTAACATACATCAATGACTTTATTATATCTCCAGGCTTTGTGTATTTGCGTATTCCCTGTCTCCATAACAGAATTATAAATCCTAAGAGCACATTGTTTCATATGCTTACGTATGACACTTCACAGTATTGAAAGTGGTGTTAGGTGCACTTTCAAAATCTGTGTCTGTGTTGTATATTTCTAAATAAGAATGTTGTAGAAGTAGCTTGTCTTAAGGAGGAGGTGGGGACTGAAGAGTTCACGTTTGCTGAAGCACATGCAGTTTCAGGCGGTGGCTCGAACAGGGAGCGTCTGCCACACGCCTGTCCCAGGCTGCGCCGATCCATTCACACGCTCCTCTTTGGGCTGTTAGCAGCAGCTTATACGTTGAACAGCTTCCTAAATTACTTCCCTGAAGTGGCCTGGAGGAAATTATTTTAGGCATGAATATGCATGTGCACGTTTGTGTCTGTGCATGTGTGTCAGGTAAATGAGTGTGCACAGGGGCGCACACGTGCCCAGGGGAGCGCGTGAGCGGTCACCAGCGGGGGAGCGTGTTGGGGGGGATGGGCCTGGGTCAGTCGTATGCGAGTGGTTTTACACTCTTCTTTTTCTCCAGATTTTCTGTGGTTCACTTATTTCCAAATAACAACTTAAAATTTAAATGCAGTGACTTATGTTAATATGTAATGGGTTTGTTGTTATTTTTAAATGAGTTAAATACATATTTTAAGTTTCCTCAGTCATATTACATTTCTAACAGAGGAAATATTAATAGATCTAATGCACATCAATGAAAGCTCTTTGGGGCCCTCGATAATTTTAGGAGCATTGAGGGTCAGAGACCACAGAGCTGAGGATGACGGACACAGACTCGGGGTGGGCGGGCAGGGGTCCCCACGTTCTCTCGAGGCTGTTCATTGGTGAGCGAGAGCTGAGTGGTAAGTGGCACTTGCTGGTCCTCCAGCCTGGGAGCCGGGGCCTCCCTCGGCCTCCGCGGGACTGCCCGCAGGCGAGAGGCTCTCCGGGGATGGCCGCTCCCCAGGCTGCCTGTTGGCCGGGCAGTGTCCTTGTCTCTCTGCCATTGCTCTGTGCTTGGGTCGTGACTTTGGTTATAATTATATGGGTGGCCCATGACGAAGGAACCAAAGAAGAGCATCAGATAGTTCTTAAGACGCGGTTTCCAGGGTCCGTGCCCCTCCCCAGACACGGCTCGGGGACGGAGGAGGTGGAGGAGGGCCAGCGGGTGGTGGCTGGGCTGGTCTGCGGCGTGGGGAAGAGCGTGGCCGCCGAGGGTGGCGGAGGGCAGAGGGTGTGCGGGGCGGCCGGCAGGAGGGGCGGCGGCGCAGGCTGGCGTCCCCTCTGCGGTGGCTGGGCCGCGCCCTGCCCCGCGGGCGGCACTGCCGCTGCTCCCCTGTGTTGTGGCCGCGCACGCTGAGCGTAGTGGTCGAGAGGGGACCCTCACTTTCTGCCATTGTCACCGTCGTCGAGCATCGGGCAATGAAGAGGAAAGAAAATTAGGTGTTAAAAACACTTACGTGGGGTCACGTAATTCCAAATTCAGATTTTTAAAATCAGTTTTTAAAAAGAAATCAAAGGATAAGTAAATGTACAGGCTGTGTGTCATTTTGGTGCTGTTTATTGTCGTTTCATCTTCTTTGCCAAAGTTGTGATTTATTTTTCTGTCTTTGTTTTTATAACAGATCATCAGAAACTGGAAAGGGAAGCTAGAATCTGCCGTCTTCTGAAGCACCCCAATATTGGTAAGAAAGTGCTCCAGGGTATTGAAGTACAACTTAAAAGCTTTACAAGATGTATTTTTGCAACAATAAAGTGCTTATTTAATAATCTAGTGTTCGCAACTATTATGAAATAGGTATCTAACTTTTAGTCTTGGTTACATTTGATTACTTGAAAGTTTTTAAGTTTTTCCAAACATAGCAGTTTTATATATACTGACATTTAAAAACTAACATGAGGTATTCTTAGTTGAATAAATGTCTTCTTGTGTCTTCATGGTTATTCAGTTGTGCTGATGAAATTGGAGAGGCATTTACTCCATTCTTTCAGTTGCCTAAGCTACTCCCCCCCGCTCTGTAGGAAGTTCACCTTATCGTCTCTGCTTCTACCCCAGAAACTAGTAGAATCATTGTAGAATATTATTCCTCACGAATTTTAAAATAGCATGGTAATGTTCAAGATAAAAAATTGATGACTATACGAAACGGAGAAGAAAGAAACAAAAGGAAGAGAAGGAAAGAACTGTTAGGCGAGATGCTGGGACAGCAGCTCGCTCATTGTGGGAAAGTGTTTCGTACCGGCCCCGGCAGGATGGCCCTCAGCCGCGTCCCCCTGGGGTGGAAATGCGGGAGGGGCTGCGGGGGGGCCTCGCGGGGGCGCCTGGCCCTTCTGTCTCTGCGCAGAGGCCCAGCCACGCCGCCTCCTGCCCACAGTCTCCCTCCGACACACCTGGTGGCTCTGAAGCCCCCGCCCCCCAGCAACGGTCTCAAAGGGGCCTGGCTCGCAGGAAGGACGGAACAGCCATGGACGAAGCCCGGGTGGGGTCTGGGTCAGCAGCCGCAGAGGCCCTGGAGATCCCCTAGCACAGGCCTTCATTGTCCTGTTCCAGTAATCGAGGACGCTGAAATGTTCCAAATCCGTGTGACTTATCTGAAGTCCCAGTTCGTCTGTGACCTGCCAAACCCGAGCGCCTGATGCCCTCTCCAGAAAGAGGTGCGGTGGTTGGCGGGCCTGACCGCCACCACAAGGGGGAACAGACCGCTGGTCTGTTCCCTGTCAAGGAGGATCTTGGAGTCGTCTGTGGTTCAGATGAGTCTCACTTAAAAACTTCCAATGCTAACACGAAAGAACAAACCTTGGTCAGTTTGGGAAAGCATAAGTAATGCCTGCCCACTGCACGCGTGAACTCTGCTGTGGAATCATCACGTTCGAGGAGGACGCTCTGCTGGGCAAGCTGTGGTTGGCAGGTGGACGGTCATGGAGTCACGGAAGCGGACAGGCGGAGCTGAGAGAGCAGGGAGCACCCTTGGGTGCCGTGAGCGGCGTCCCAGGCCCGTGAGTGGGAGCTCACGGCAGCTGGGCTGACAGAGCTTCCTTTCCCTTAACCCTGGAGGAGCCAGCGGGGAGCGGGGTTCCAGGAGCGCAGTGATGTGCCCAAGGTCACACGCACGTCCCCAAGGGGCGGGGCTCACAGCCCGCTCGGGACCTCGTTCACACACAGTGCCTCCCCCTTCCCCTGACCTGCAGGCATGGTGTCCTGATGTCTCAACCTCAGTTTCTCTCGTTCTTGCAAAAATCCTTGGGCCAAATACCATTTCTCTGCTTTTCACTACATATATGTAACATTTTTGTTTGTAGATTCCAACAGTTTGTGATGACACAAGAGTAGGTCATGTTTATTGCCCCACAACTGTCTCCAGTGACTCTCTCGGTTGGTTAAATGTAACTTAACACGATTCAGTAGCGAAAGACAAAGTGTTCTTGTTTTATGGTCACCTTTTACCTGATTATATCTCATCCCCCCCTTTTTTTTAAATTTTATTTATTTTTAGAGAGAGGGGAAGGGAGGGAGAAAAAGAGAGAGAAACATCCATGTGTGTTTGCCTCTCATGTGCCCCCAACTGGAGGCCTGGTCCACAGCCCAGGCCTGTGCCCTCACTGGGCATCGAACCAGCGACCTCTCGGAGGCCACTCAGCCCACTGAGCCCCCACCAGGCAGGGCGCACCTCGCCTTTCATGTCGAGCATTTGGTGTGAGGCTCACGGGGACGTCCGGCCTTTTGGCCTCTCTAGGCCACACTGGGAGGAGAAGCGTTGTCTTGGGCCGCGCATGAAATATATTGCGATATGTAATCGCAAAAGAATCTCATAACCTTTGAAGTAAACTTACAATTTTGCCTTGGGCGGCATTCACAGCCATCCTGGGCCACGTGCGGCCTGCGGGGTGCGGGTTGGACACCCCGCTTTATAAAGTGCCCCTTAGGCCGCCTGCCTGTCTGCAGAGCTGCTCCCTCTCAGCACATCTGAGGAGCAGCAGAGAGCTGCTGCTTCAGCAAATAAATGTTTTCAAAAATTCTCGTTATTTACTTCGGCTTTTCCTTCTTTTGTTCATTTTACATAGTGCCTGTGATAGTCTTTTTAACTCTCAGTTGAATGTTAAATTCACCATTTTTTAAGTAAACAACTTATGTAATAGATAAAAATTCGGATATAAAAATTGTCGATTCAAGGTAATATTTTAAATTCTCTTTTAATTATTGAATTTGGATCTCAGTCCATCTGTTACCAGTTTCTTTGTAAATAAATTATTTTTCCAAATATCAGTGAAAAGTCCACTCCATACTTACATCACGAAGTAGTTGGATTTTACGTGAAGCTAGATAGGAAAATGGTCTTCCTGTTACAAGTGAAGGACAGTCCGTGATCCGCCTCTCTGGAAGCACACTCCGATTTACCCGATGCTTAGCACTTCTTCAGCTGTTTCCCCTGGTGTATCTACTAACTGTGCTTGTTCGCGTCTTGTGCCACCTGTGGCACGTACAGGGCGGGGGCCGCAGCCGAGTCCTGGAAGTTCACAGCGGCTTCTGGGGCTCACAGGTAGGCCCTACGCAGAAACTTTAAAGGAAAATAGTTCCAGACACTAGCAGCACCTTTAGTTTCTTGTTTGTCTGCTCTCTTGGGCCTGAGTTAAACGGAAGCCCCTCTTTCTCCTGGGCCTCACCCCTCAGCGACAGCTTTCGTAACCAGGAAGCCCCCCAAAAAGCCAAGGAACCTCTTCATCCCTTAAGAATCATTGCTTGTCCCCCGTCTTCTGGTAACTTGGGTGCGGAAAGTGAACTTAGGCCCAGTGAGCTCCGTGCTGAGACCTGAAGGTGGGCTGAGTGACAGAAAGTCGGTTTAGGGCAGTGACCTTGGTCACTAGCATCGGTGACGAGGCCATGGGCTGGGTCACCAGGCACCGATGAGGTGCTTCCCCTGCCGTCTGGCGCCGGGGCTCTGAATCCTCCGAAGAGACCAGAGCGGTCCTGTCCCCACCACACACCGTTGGGCCAGGGAGGCCCCGACGGCCGCGGCCACACGCCAAGGTGCGCGCAGCCTGCCCTCGACCCCCACCCGGCCCCGCAGGGCAAGGGCGCGCGGCAGCGGCCCGGGCGCCCCACGGGCAGGGAAAGGGGTCTCGCGGTTGGAAGGGCGGACGAGACCCCGGGGCGCTGAGGCCCGTCCCGCAGATGCCGGGCGGCCTTCCCGTCTCCTTGGCCCTCGCTCCGGGGGGTGCGGGTGCGGGTGCGCAGGGACGGAAACGCCCAAATGCCGAATGGAAGCCCAGCAGACCCCGGTGCCGCAGGGCCGCGTGCCTTGGCTGGCCATGCTCCGCAGGGTCCTGGTGAGGGACGCCTTGCACACGGTCCTATTTAACCCTGAGTGAGCTACTGGCCTGCTGTGAAGACAGTCTCTTGTTGTCGTCTTCTGGTGATCAGGAAAATGAATAAACTACTTGTCACTAAATAGTAGAAGTTAGGTAACAAGCCAGCAACAGTCCTGTGTAACACGTGACAAAGCAAATTTTAACAGCTGCTCTTTATGCTGTAGAAGAATCAGGATAGGACACTGTGGGGTGAATTCTAAGACCTCATAAGCCCTGGGGTGCATGTGTTTTAATTAACCGTTGATTATACCTGATTTCAATAGAATATGCACAGGAATACTGACTTAAGAGTTTTAAGATAGTTTTTGAAAGTGTAATTTAAAGTTCAATGATAACATTTATTTCCAGCATTGTATAAGGCCCGCTGTGGTTTACTTTGGTAGAAAAGTTGCCACTTTAGGAAAGGTAGCTCTGTAGACCCACTTTTTATAGATTTGGAAATAGGATTTTTTTTTTCTTTAAAAATGTTGTACAAGTGAAAGAGTTTGCTCTTTGAGTTTGGTGTGTATTGAATCTGCTTAACACAAACAGCCCCAGCTCTGATGAACTTGTCATAGGGTCATGATCGTGTCAGAGTATTGTTTGGTATATTAGTTTCGTTGATTTTTAGTTTAAAATGTTAATAGCTTGTGTTAAAAAGAGTAGATACAGATAGTGATATGACTTGAATTCTTTTTCCATTAAATTTTTTTAACATTTTGGATTTCAGTTGTGATTTGTGTTTTCTGTGAAATAATAGAAAGATTATTTGGAGAGATTTGGGGGCTTCGTGCCTCTGGAGCGCAGCGGCATCTGCAGCTCGCTGTTGGGGGGCAGCCTTCAGTGGCGAGCGTGCCGCGCGCTTCGCCCAAAGGCCCGGGGTGCGAAGGCAAGGCCGAGGCCCGCAGCGCGAGCTGCCTGCGAGGCAGAGGGGCCCTCGTCCGTCATCTGTGCTCTTCAGAAGGTGGAGGGTTTCCCCACAGACTTTGACCCTGAAGCTCCCCTTCGGGAAGCAGCTCCCCTCCTGGGACGCCCACAGTTGTCTCCTGAGCCTCGGTGGCTTTGCATGTTCAGGTGGACTTGTGCGGGGCAGCTGTGCAGTCAGGGGACCCACGTACGGCCCTGTGGTGGCCACGCTGGCCTCGACCTTTCTTCCCCACCCCAACGCTGCCGCCCGCACGCGCGCGGCCCTGCCGGCCCCCCGGAGCCCCAGAGACAGGCCGCTGCCTTCTCCCGAAGGGGGGCCGCTCTGCCGAGGAAGCTGGCACTTTCATGACTGACTTTGTATTTTGATAGTTTAATGTCTGATCCTTGAGTTTTATAACATGGGGGTAATTGC